AAACCGAATGTGCTTCATAGAATCCTAATATGTTTGCAGTATTTTCTTCATTTAAAACATTATGTTTCCGGTATGCCTTTTAAGCATTTGTTACGTTACCATTTTCTGCAAGTTTCTCGGTGCTCTAGTTAAAGTCTAATATATTGACGACGACCTTCGGTTGCACTTTTATTATTCAGAGAGTATACTTGTAGCATATCAACCTTTTCGCGGATGCTAAATTCGCGAAAACCATTTTAACAATAATGACATGGACAATAAATCAACCATCATCAGTCAGGGTAGTCTTTAAAATTATATAAAAATTTCCTATTTTTGCTGATTTGTCAAAAACGAGTGGACGAAAATAAAAAGTGTGTCACATCATTTTAATTGGAATAAGATATTCTATTAAACACATTTATAATATACAGGGTGTTCCATTTACAAAAATATGATGTACGCTTATATATCGGGAAATTGATAGTGTTTTGTTTTATACGTTACTTGGAAAAACTGGGCTATTAACCTCAAGTTTTTTTTGTTTACCTTGATATCTCTAGAAACAAAAAAGTTACAGCCAATTAAAACGTTATCAAGATAAATTGAATGAGTACAATATTCCACGGTTATTTCATAAAATATTTTGTTTGAGCTGTAAAAACGTATCCCTCGTCATAATGTTTTAGGATAATTATGTTATTGTGAAAATAGATCCAGACAATAATTTTTCAAATTGTTAGAAGAAAAATTTACATTATATCAATCACATGAGCTGAATTATTGAATCATAATTAATCATTGCCGAAAATTGCAGTAACTTACTTCGCAACGCTATAACAATGCAATAGTCTCATAAACGTCCCAATGTTACCTTATCGTACAAAAACTAGGTAAAACCTGATTGTTGTTCAACTATGATGTTATGTTGAAAGTAATCAATTGAAACAAAACACTTTGTAATATTAAGGGAGTCACGGAAGATTATCAATTAATAAAGAATTATCTATATGATAAATGTTGCTATATATTAGCGAAATCCTTATAACATAGAACACAGATTACATGGCTATAACAACCTGATAAATACCCTAACCTATATGGGCAATAAACCCAAGAAGTTTGAGTCAAGTACAATACACAGCAATAATGTCATGCTTAGAGATTGCGACTTACGTAAGCAGCTTTTTATATATTTTATAACTTAACTCCTAGTGCATCCACACCTCAAATTTTGGATTTATTTTTGCCTTACATGTTCACGGGTTGAGCGTAGATTGCCAAAAATTTCATCATTGTGTGTGGAATTCCACAGGGTTTAGTTCGGTAATACTCAAATTTTTCAAATTTGAGTACTTCGGAAAAAACTGTGTCTAAACTTACATTGTGAGAGTTCCTTTCAGGAAATATGTAAATTTATTGCAACGTCCAACATAAAACAAACTCGAATTTAATGTTTATTTAGATGCATCTGATTATCGTATTAAAACTTGCGGTGATTAACTGATAACACCTAAACGTTAATAATATAATTTTAATTTTAAATGCCCAAGCATAAATCCAATGCATTCAGAACATTATCATTAGAACCCGCAACATTAGTCCATGCATCGGAGCAAAGTTACCATAATGCAAGGGAAAATGAAATTACCAAAAGCGTTGGAACAATGTTTTTTTTTTACGTTTATTTTTCCTTTTGTTTTGTAACAATATCACAAATAACTTATATTATTCTCTATCTTTAATAAACATGTTTAAAAAAAACAACCTTAGCTATTATATCCTAAACTACGAAATAATTTCTAAATGGTCCCTTAACGACGAAGCTTTTTGCAATAATTTTAAAATCATGCGACTTGATCAAAATGGCATCAAAAAAACGCTCGTTCCCAAATATATCCTCAAAATACCGGAAATGTCCGAAGTTGATCCCGACAGTGATTACTAAAGCTGATGTCTTGATGTGATACTTTGAGCACGATTGATCATTACATAATTGGGTCTTTTAAAGTAGTTAATAAAAAAATATTTTTTAAAAAAGGACACTGCAGTATATACGAACTTTACCTTTAGACTGATAATTTTTTTGCTTGGAACGTTGTCGGCATCAGTATAAGGATTTTGACAAGCCAAACATATTTTTTAACACGTAAATTGTTAACACGTTCATGTTAATCACCGGCGTAGTCATGCGGGTACCTGCTGGCCTATTCGTGACACAAGGCAGTTTTGATTTGGATTGCCATTTGGAAATTATGATTCTGAATAATTGTATATTTTGAGCTTAAGCGAATTGTAGATTAATCAGCGTTGGCTATGTATGTAAGTAAATACGAATTAAGCATAATTAGTACTACAATAAAAAAAAATAATAGTCATGCAGTCATCGAGGGATAGTATGCTAAAACTTAGAAAATGTTATATTGTACTATGTATGTTTACATGGTATCAATGTATAGTACAATGGACGTTTCAAAAAATTTCTAGCTGTAGGTGCTGCAGACCAATGGATTACTTCGGGTTATTGGAATTAGCGACGATCCTAGACGTTCTCTCCAGTGTCGGGCTTAAGAATACTAGCCCGAAATTAAATTGCTCGGTATATACCTTAAATAGTAAAAGCGGTAGGGTCACAGCAAAGTGAAATTTATGTGTAGCTCGGATAACCTAACCGGTAATCCTATATGGAAGGCAGTGTATCGGGATTTATACCATTAAAATATTTTTCGTTATGTGGTGTTCAAGTAATTAGAATCTATAGAATATTTAGTGACTGTGAATATGTCGTGAATTAGTGAATATGTCTTATAAAAATTGCCTTACTTCATCGTAGCAGCAGTAACTCAATTGCGGGACGAAACGAATAAAAATTGTGTTTTCAAAAGTCCATATCTGTTAAATAAAGGTTTTTTTTTTCAAAGAAAACTTCCATAGGGTATTGTATACTATTCACGAAACTTCTGGATTCCTCCTGCTTCAATTGTTGATGGATTGTTGTTGGAGTCTCGGTTTTAGATCAAAGCTTAACTAAAGTTTCAGTTTTAGTTAAGCTCTGAAGGAGGCAACAATTCAATTCAAACAATTCAACAAAAACCAACACAGGCGGAATCCAGAAGTTTTGTAAATAGTAAATAAAAATTATCTGGATAGGGCTTTATCTATATTATTTCATTTTCATTTTTTATTTACTTTAAATCAGCAGGGTAGAAAATGAAACACTTAATTCTTCGAGCAGTTTTAAAAAAATATCTGTTTTTTGTATTTACCCAATAGTCTAGGTAAAAACAAATTCTGTCGATTTTTAACGTTTTTACAACAATTTTTAAAATGTAGTTTTCTATATATCTTGTTTCTATTAATCTGACATTGTTTACACTTCCACATATTTTAACTCTCTAACCAAAACAAACTCATAAATGACAGGAAATTTTGATCGACACTGGTAATTTTTTGAGTGAATGAAAAATCGAATTAACACCCAAAAATTGTCAAATTAAAAAAAAAAAACTCAATACCAGAAGTATAATAAAAATTGTACCATTTTAAATACTTCTGCAAAAACGTATAAATGATTTTTTTTTGTGTATTTGCTGATTGCTTGTTCAAATGTCTAAAGATTTATTTATTTAAAACTAAATTAAAAACTGCATTATCCAATAGTCTCGTGAAACGTGAAACGTGTTGAAAAATATCAAATTTTAACGAACACCGACCAATCACACTTTTAACAAAAATAAAAACAAGAATCTTATAGCACGATCATTGTTACCAACGATTGTTACAAATAACAGAAATATAAAGAATTGGACAATAATGAACAAAAAAAAATCACAATATTACCTATATTTATGTAACTCAGACCGTTTTCAAAAATTGTTTTGAAAATAAATTGCGAGAGGGTTTCATTGAATGTTTCATATATTTTGGTTAGTTTTGAATACCTGTCTAACCTCGTTTTGTTACTTTTTTTAAAAACAAAAATGTGCTTAGCCTTTTTCTTTTGTTTTTTTATCAATGGTTACAAATTGATGGGTATGATGAGCTAATAAATGAGTAAAATAACGAATGCAGAGTATGTACTCAATCAATAAAAAGAATATGTTAACAGAGAATAGAAAAAAGGAAAAACATTGGATACGACCATGTAGCTACTAGAGATGTAAAGGAACTTATGAAGCAAGTATTAAAAAAAGAATTCAGAAGGTTCATGCAACATGCGCATGAGCGAGATTTAAACCAATCGGTTTTAACCAATGCCCTGGCAACATTCAACAACCAACGTAGCCGCTGACATAATACCAAATAATTAATGGTGAAGCACATCATATCAATTTTTCGAATGATTGAAATCGATTTCAAACGATTTGAGTTAAATGCTTATATAATAATTATAAAGAAAAGTCCCCGCACTTTCGGTTCTGAGAGAAAAGCACCGTCTCCTCTGCAGTTAGTGTTTGGCCCACTCTTAAGTAGTCACCATCAGCTAAAACAAAAATTTAGTTGCTGGAATAGTGACTATAAGTCTTTGATCACGTTTACTGCCTAAATAAATCTTATTTCTAGCTGAAACAGCATATTCATAATACACTTTTGTAAAACAATAAATTAACCCAATTCACCCCGCCCACGCCCCACAATAAAGTCAAGCAATTCGAATTTCATTAAAGTTTAGAAAAGGAGTTTGGTAATAAAATCTAGGTTAATCTTTTTAGTAGTCACCTGAAGGGAAAAGAAACAAAAATAAAATTGTCTTGGAATGTGCTATAATTATTGTTTAAATGCAAGGTCGGACTTAATCTACGAAAACATCACGATTATAAAAATAACGCCACTCTTTTCGCTGGTTCGCGCAAAGCTTCGTATCATGGATAGAACAAAAAAAAACTCCCTTGCGAACTTCAGTAAACATGCGGCCCGAAACCAATTTAAAGAAAAATACGAGCCGCAGTTTAATCTTATAAAATATTCGAATCCATTAATTTGAATAAAGGCAACATTAAAACATCTCAAGGTGGCAATGAATCTCCAGTGTTGTAGACTCGCGAAGCTCCGCTGCGTTCCTCCTCGTTTCCATGGCGACGAGCGTTTTTCGTCCAATCGGGCTCGTCGGGGAGGCGGCCCGAGATGCTTTAAGACCTGGAGATACGGGTTCTTCTCCCGGCGATGGAGAGAGCGGGAGAGAATTGACTTTGCGCCGTTGCCTCTTCGTCTGAAATGGATTATTTTTGCAGATTATCGAGTGTTTAACTTATAAAATCAAGGGTGGTATTTTTGAAAATACCAAACGTAGGAGAACATAGCAAAAGGCCAGATCGAGTTCTCATTTGCATATTTCATTAGGAAGTGGTGTAAAAAGTCGTAGAGATGTTGCTTATAAAGGTTTGTTTTCATGCTCGTTCCACATGTCTTATTTTCTCCATCTTAATAACGGATTATTAATACGGCTGGTGAAAATACTTTGCTTAGTTTATTTGCTTTTTAGGCTTTATCTTGCTCTAAGCCTCATTGTCTAGTAACTAGATTGATATTGCACTGACTGTTCAAATTTAGGTGTATAGAACTCTACTCTTTCGAGCTCCTGTTTATAATAAAATGGTTAAACAATTGAACCACCTTGAGAACGCTAATATTTAGACCTTTGAATCACTATTCTATGACATTATGTGAACCTTGTAGAAACGGTAAACATGAGGACTAAAACTGTGCAAGCAAGTCAAAATCAATATATTTCGCCGACTTCCCTTTTTGATTAATCACACATTCAAAGATCGACTTGGTTTTTTACTAGTGTTCAATGTTCAATAGTATATTATAGTTTATTTATTTATTTACTTACAAACGTAAAGGCTATCCAAAAGGCAGACGAGGCTATCCAGTTACATGATAACGCATATTAAACGTATAAATTTACATAACCGGGATTAAAAAAAGAATCTTCAGTAGATATTTCTAGGGCATTATTAGAAGAACATTACAAAATTTTGTATACGTTAGTTAGTAAATTAATTTAGCATCCTTGCTGTTCAGTTCGTGCACATACGAGCACGTCTAATAATTGGAGATTTTTAAAGAGTTTGATTTGAATATATCTATGTAAAATATTGACTTGATGCTACCTTTCTGGTAATTAAATGGGAAGTAATTTGTGGAGTAAAGTGAGTAAATAAGATTAACAATTTTATAAAGGAAAATTACATCTAAGCTATTTCTGTGCGTTTCAGGTGACCTCAATTTATAAAAATGTAAGTTATATATTTTCATAGAAATAGTTGGTAGTATTAGTAGATCACCATAATGCCAATACTATACGTCCATATAGGAAAGTATACCTCTCTCACCTCCATAAAAGGTATCAATAGAGCTGCAAGTTTTATTGCTTATTTTATTTTTCTAATAATATATCAATTTAGCAGTAAAGTGACTATTGGCCAATAATATTTGAAATGTAATGAATTATAATAGAGTTCCATTAACCTCTCTAAAACTATGTTGAACTAAATAAATATAAAAAACGTCTTAGTGATAATCTTTAATTCAGCAATTCGAGCACTGCGGCCACGATTAACTTAATAGTAATTAAAATAGGTTAAAACTGCTTTTTATATGGTACTAGATATAAATTTCCCAATATTTATTCATTAACTAGACGACGTGGATTCAGTTTTTATCGGACTTACCTTTTCATAAATATTTACGAAGTGACAACGTGGCACAAGACCGAAATTTCCTGCTGAGAAATAAGCAGCGACGGAAAGACGTGTGCGGCAGGATTGCTATTTTCCGCGTACGGAATCCCCTGCGAGATGTGGATCGCTTCGCTGCCTGCTGGGCAAAGATATTGTCTTATTTCCATTAACGATTCGTTTTCGGCCACCATGATAAATCGGTCCGTGGCGAACAACTGCAAGGAAAACTGTAGGGTTTTATTTATTGTATTGTTTTGTGAGATATATAATTTAGTTTCCGCGTTGAGCAATTCGCAATATTGCTTAGATTTATGATAATGTCTTACAAAATAAATTCAAAAAGACCGATAAGATAATAATAAAGAACATGCACAGTGAGACTACTCCTAGTATACATAATGAGCGCATCTTATATAGGGTGTTGTACCAGAAACATAGATTCCGAATCTTTTCTAGGGGATGTGAAAATTTTAAAAATTTAATCGTACTTCTTTAAAATATAGGAATTACTTGTATTTGTCTATGAGATTATTTTGAGAAATTTTGTTCAAATCTTACAGTTTGACAAAGAGACATAAAATCATTTAACTGCACATCGCGTAAATGCCGACCTTCCTCATTTTCATCTTTTTCCTCTTCCTTTTATTCACTATCTTCAGATTTTTCACACGGAATGTGGTATTTAAAAGTCATTATAGTTTAAACTTTCTGGTAAAGTTACTTAGAAAGGGCACTGATAGACTAAGAAGCCTTTTTTCGATCTCCATTCCAATTGGATGGCACTATTGACATCAAATATAATTGAGTCGCGTAGGTGAGGCGTCTGACATGCGAATTTGGATTTTCCCATCTGTGTCACTCTAAAACACTATTTGCAGAGAAATTATTTTTCACGCTAACCTGAACTTTACTCGAAATTCCCATTACACGTTGTTCTACAACAGCTTAAGTATTAGTGATTGTTCTCCAGCATGCCTTGGTTCATAGACTTATATTATTATACTAACGAATAATTATTTCACAAAATTTACGAATAGGTTTTTAATATAAGCGCAACCCTACTGAACTTTGTAGTCTCCAAGAAAATGAAACTCTATTGCACGTACTGTTTGCCTGTCCCCTTTATTACGAGGTTACATTTAATCATTTTAAAGATGTAGTTCTTTTTGTGAAACGACTAGATAATCTTACACCTAGAGTTGCAGTGAATATCTGTGCAGGGTTGATGCCATTCCAAAATTTATATTTCTCATTAATGAAAAATATAAATTTCTCTGTTAGAATTACCTGTAGCTTTTTATACGTATTAACCTTTAGCTATCTATATTATTTATTAAATTACTCCAAATTTATAATATTTTGAAAAGAAAAAAATACATTCGAAAAAATCTCCGTGATTTGCAACCAGGGTGCATGAATCGAATTATTTAATTTTTTTTATAATCATTATTATTTCATTAGTTAATATAAATTATGCTTCATGCAGGCGGCAGAGCAAACGTTTCTCAAAATTTACCAAGTTTCATCTTAAATTTTAGTATGTAATGTAGTATGTAATGGGTGAAAATAGTAGTATAAATAGTACTATAACAATTAATATTTATTCAAAAGGAAGGTACAAGAAAACACGGTGATCTGGAGCCCAGGGGAGCGTTTAAATTTATTACAGCCGGTGGATTAACACATGCCTATTTGAATTCCCTCGGGCATATAACCGGGAGTCCCAGTTTAACAGGGCCGTAACCAACAAACTTGAACTGAAAACAAAATTGTACTCATCTCATATTTTTATCTAAAACTGTATTTTATATTAGTAATTGTTCTGAGAACTGCTGCATTCATGAATGTAATTTTTTATAAGCATTGCGTTAAAACGTTTTAAATTTGAAGCCGATACTGTGAACTTCTCGGATTCATTACGGCACTGGCAACGCAAGCAAACGGGCAATTTTTAATAGAAACATAATTGAATTCAAAGAACCAGTTCTTGGAGAACGAGTCCGTTGCTTTTTAACCTGTGCCGTGGCTGGATATCTTAATCTCTTTGTCGTCCGCGGTCCGAGGGAGATACTTTGTCATTTCGGGGGTCCGCTTACACAATTAGAAAAAAAATTCCTTAAGTTAGGTAGAGCGGGACGAGTTTCTTGATTCCTTTTAGTTTCTATTGGTCGACTAAAAGCGCATTGTGGATACAGTGGGAATTGCGATCTCGTAATATTCACGTTATCTTTTTCATTGAAATTACCGGGACGAGTTTATGAAAAATTTTGGTTATTATACAAAACCCATATTGAACTTGAATGAGCCAATCGGGACCGGCCCCTTGATTTGTTCTTAATATTTACATATTTTCCGGCTATTTTGCGTTTTCCTAATATATAGGCAAATTTGGTGATTTTTTATTTGCACCTGAAATGTTGTTTTTTACTACTTTTTTTCTTTTTATTCCACCGTTTAAACAAACTGTTTGTTATTATATTTTTTATTTAATTATATTACATTTGCATTTTTGGTATAGGTTAAACTTCATTTAAATAACTTGGGATTCAAATTTTTGGTGTTTCGTTAAGTTGATGTGACTTTTTTTTTCATATTCTGTAAAAAAATTGCTGAACCAACACCATATAACCACAACCATATAACACAATAACGCGTTTCACCACAAACCGAAACTCAATTTTACGTACTCGACGCGCGTTTCGCCAACCATGTTGGCATCTTCAGGAGAAGATTAAAACCGTAATTCAGTTTTAATCTTCTCCTGAAGATGCCAACTTGGTTAGCGAAACGCGCGTTAAGTACGTAAAATTGAGTTTCGGTTTGTGGTATAACGCGTTATTGTGTGTTAGTGCAGTGTCGAAGGTTCCAGTCAAGAGTTTCACAACCATATATGCACTCATGCACTTTTTTTTCCACTAGGAATCCTTAGTTGACGCTCTAATGTATATTTTCTACATTAGGTATTGCCTTAACTACTGGAAGATGTTCTAGTTGTACTGAAGGACCATATCTGGTACAGCACAATCGGGCTCTTGTTCTTTTGAGTGTATTTATCTAGATACCGTATATCATAATCCTTTTTCAGCATTGACACACCATTAAGGAACACCCTGTATATTTTATGTGTTGAATCAATAGTTTTCGATACTTAGAGAATACTAAATCACTATGCGTCCGTAGAGTTCAAGCCAATTCATTTAAATTAAAAATGTTCACACAGTGGAAAAATATTTATTATCCTTGGAGTGGCTTAGTGAAATTTGTCACCATATAGAATTGATTTTCTCCGCAGCGGTGATATTTATCATTAATCATGCGATATTGATTGTTATTGTCAAAGTGTGCTTAAATCAATTGAAAATGAATTTAAAATTTATTATTCGTGCTGATATTTGAAGTTTCGATTCTATGTCTCGACTCCCGACTCATTTGCCGGGAAACAGTCATCATTTCTCAAAGTTATGTTAATGTATAAACATCGGCAATTTAGACAGCCTCCAATATCGGTCACCAACCTTTAGGGACCTTATTTTTGTTTATAGTTTTCATCCGGAAAAAATGAGTAATAGTCCAAGGAACGAAAATGTCTGTTAATATTTTCTTGAACAATACTTTTTTTTAACTACTAACCAAACTAAAGGAACATTTTTTCATTCTCTGGTAGTCCAAAAAATATCATTTATTTGTTTCAATTTGAAATTTACGATGGCGAACTATTAGAGTCACAAACCAAGCCAATAGCGAAGTGCCAAAAAGAGAAATAACAAAGTTCTATATTACTCAAGGAATTCGTGGAGTTTTGACGAATACATATTAGCGACGAAAAAATACACGTTGACAAAAAATTAGAAGATCCAACTTTTAAGAGTTTACCTAACAACCACTGTAGGCGAATAAGTGCGTACTTTACCAATACTTCTTTTACTTAAAGAATTGATTTATTAATATATTAAATATACTCGACTTTTACGTGCTAGCTACCAATGGAAAGAATATTTTTTACTTTAGTAAAGAAACGACTACCTTAAGTAAAGATAATGTCTTTTAGTACACTTTTTAAAACCGAAAATATAAAAGTAGCAGTATGCAACTTAAAAAATAAAACTACTCTCTTAGAACAATTAACATGATCTTATTATTTTTTTATTTCTATTAATTTCCATTCTTTGCCGTTCGTCTTTCAGTTGTTAATTATTTAGCTAGGCTTTTTTAAGATGAGGAACAAACATGCGGGCGTGAAAATTTTTGGGCAAATACTACGAAACGCGCACAGAATGTCAAAGAACTGAAGATAATCTGCATTTCTACTCTATAAAAGGGCATTAAAACGAAATTTTAAGCCGGCCACGATCGTTATCGCCGGCTTTATTTGTACGCACCGTACAATCAGCGTTTCGCGTGACAATTGTCTCGAAAATGGGGACAAAAACGGGGGAAATTGGGGGTTTGTTGGAGAATCGGAGGGATGTAGACGGCCATTATCCCCGTTAAATGAAGTGTACGGGCGAAAGGTGAACTCGTGGCGTAAGCCTTTTGCCGGGGCTTGCTGGTGCTGCAATTCCCAACTGGCAAAAGCTGGATAAGGCCCCCGGATTGGGAAGTGAAGCGGAAACGGGATCCGATAAGAGATATTGCCGACGAACTACGAACGGGAAAAGTTTGATTCGGTTCGGGTGCGAACAGGACCGGCTTCGCCTCAAACGCTTGCTACGTACCAAGCATTATTTTAATTATAGACTAAATGATAAGTTTCTGGAAATGCAGCAGGAAACTTTAGTCTTCTTTACCCCTATCAAGTCAAAGTATTTAGCTTATTCTATTTTATATTTCATTCGTTTACAAACACGATAATAAATACGCTAGCAAAAAAAAAGAAATAAAATAAAATATTAATTACAACCTAAGCTCCATATATTTTGCAAGAAATTTTGTAGATGAAATTATCAACTAATTAAGGAGAATACACAATACACTTTCGCCTATGATTTATGGTTATGGCGGTTCGTTCATATACCGATTTCATTTTATTAAAAAAATGCTTTCATAGAACGTCTTATTCACTGAGGAGACAAAGTTTTGTTAAATATATATTTTCTGTATTTAAATGTTTTCTTATTATCAATTGATATACGGAAGCTTTTAATGGAATTATTTCGTATATTCGGTAAATAAAATAAAAATATGGATTTTACTTCATAAGCTCAAGCCGATGAAAGAATCTATTTCTATAACTAGCTTACTATTTGAAATAAGACAGATATTAAAAAATAAGTCACGAATCTGTTTTTCATTCATCTGCAAAAAAATATCAGAAGACGTCCATGTGAAATTTGCGATTTTAAGAAAAAATATACATACGAGGGCTGCTTTTTATATATCCGGATTTTCTTGAACTAGTTCTGCCATCTGGCGACTAACGTTTAATCAGTTAGGTTTTCGCGAAAGTGTTGTTTGTATTTTTTGTGATAAATTGAAAAAAATGTGACCGTTAAAAGTGGAACTTAATCGGGAGAATTTTCGTGCAATATTTTTTTACGACTTTAGACGTGGCCTAGCTCAACAACAATGCAATGAACTTAATTCGGCCTTTGGAGTTAAAGCACCATCTAGTACCATTGTTTATCGCTGGTTTTCTGACTTTAGTAATGGTCGTAGTTTTCTTAAGGATGAATTTCGTGAAGGTCGTCCAAAATCGGTGGTTGTCCAAGAAAACATTGATGCAATGCGGAAACTGATTTTGTAGGATCGTCATGTGACTTACGATGAGATTGAGGTATCTTTGGGCATTAGTAGGATCAGCATACGTACAATTTTCCATGAACATTTGGCGGTTAAAAAATTTTTTTCGCGTTGGATTCGACACAATTTGACGACAGTGCTAGCTCTCACCGATCAGTGGAAACAAAGAACTTTTTGAACATTAAAAAGGTTGATTCGATGCGCCATCCATCATATAGTCCTAATTTAATACCTAATAAGTTCTTTTTATTTCTATACATTAGGAACAAATTTGCGTTTTTGCGTTTAAAAAGCATGTTTTGGAGGTGCCCGAATCGATGTGGGAGAACTGCTTTTATCGAATGCAAAAGTGTACTGATCATCAGAGTGAATATTTTAAGAAACGGTAAAGTCATATTTTTTGGTAGCTTATAGTTTTTTTATTACAAATCTCGAAATATAAAAGGTAGCCCTTGTATAACTCGCATGGTTTTTAACGTTTTTGAAGTTATTGAATTTTCCATCTGTTTAGTTAAGTTAAATGATTATCCTCAATCGTTAACATTTAAGAACACTGTCAGGAACAACTTCATGTAAACCACAAATATGGATCTTAGAAGCAATTATTGCACATGGTTCCAAAAAGTTAGAAATCTGTTAAAAATTGTGTTGTTGGATTAAAATATTCATTAGTATATCGGTTATTGGAATTGTTAAAAATGAAGGGCCTAGAGTTTTATAAATTGTTGGTTGATTTATGCGGATGTTGATAGATTTGAATTGTGATTTGAAATCGATTCTATCATCTATCGTATATGTTAACACACCTACCTTTTTCGACGAAGGCTTCCTTTAAGAATTTTGGTTTATATTATATATATCTTTAGCAGCCGTGGCTGTTAGAAGTAAAAGTAGTACTAGTGACCACAAATATTTTGGCGCTTTATGTTTTAAATTCGGAATAATCAGTAACTCGTAATGTGGAAATGTTTAGCTTTTTTTGCACAATTGCAATGGCTGCACTTGCAGCACGATTGCCTAACAAAAGCCTTTTTTAACAACTTCAAATTCATTAAAATTCGTTATGCCTTTTTGGAGTTAACAATATTTATCACCACCGCCAATATAAGGATTAAAAAAAAAAGTTTGAAAAATCAAGATTCAATTACTTTTCCCACGGCCATGTCGTGAACTCGAAAATAATATCCAGGATTTTCTCTTTGCCCATTTACTTAATTTTTTTTTAACTTTCTGGAAGAAATCCGTTTAAAAGATATGTTTAAGAAATAAGGGAGATCTCCAAAATAATATTTACAGTTGCATACGCGCCGAGGTAAATTTTTTAGCATTTTGGTTAACCTTGGACGGAGTCTCGCAACACGTATAGAGCGGACTTACGTGTTTGCGTTCGGCAATCGTAAGGGTAACGTAAAACTGTCGCCATGCCTCGACAAACTGCAAATAAACTGAAAGAAAACGAACGGAAAAGGCTACATTAGACAATTTACGGTTTTGTTTTCGTTAGACGCGACGCGTCGGGTCGCCCAGCTCGCTGCAGCCCGGGTGCAGTTTTCATTCGGCGCAGTCGGCGTCCCTTGGAAAAGACTTTTCCGGGGGAAAAAAGACCATCGTATAATATTCCGGTTAAGAATAATTCGCACGGAACGGCCAAGCAAGCTCATTTCCCGCGACAGTTATATGTGTGAGTTAGAGCGTTTCTTTCGTTTTACTTTGCCGCTTATCTTGCCACTAAATTTCTGATTTTAATGGAAGCGGGAGAGCAATTTCGCGAGAGCGAGCGCCTGTACGCGCCAAAGGCCGTACTTAGCTTTTACGGCGGGCTTTTTAAATTGGGTCTATTGTTATCGGTAGTTTAAAGCAATTTTAGAAGTCGAAGGAAAGTTTAAATTGGATTTTGAATGATTTGTGATATTAAAAAGTTCTTGGGGATGTATGTATGTAACCCTTTCAATATTTTTTTGTTTTCTTTGGTTCACCGATGTAAAAATGATCATGTGATGCCAACCATATGGCCGCATAAATAATATACATAATCTCTTTTGCCATTATTCGTGCTTAAAACATGTACTGGCATGTTGTCTCTAAAAGATGGTACCGCTAGTTCCTAAAGGAAAAATATGACAACCTGAGAGGACTTATTCAGACCTTTATCGCCACATCGCTTAGAAAAGTCCTTGCGAGAAATTACAGTACCTGTTTGGATATTTTCTCAGACTCAATAAATTTAACTTCTAGTACTCTGAACCGGCTGCCTGCTCTTTGGTGGTGTGCAGCTGATTCTCTTCCAAACAAAGTCTACATGTGCTGTCGGTGATCACTCCGTGATAACAGTGTTCTGTCAAGATTCCTACCAGCTTTCACAGTCTTGCGGGAATGAAACTGAGAGCCCAGCTTTGGTCCTCAGGTGTAAGTCCCACGGTCTCCCTTAGCACCCTCTCCGTGCCGGGAGAATTGTTTCCCAAGCTCAACCCACTATTCGGTATAATATTTACCATTCCAACGGACGACTCTAGTGTGGAACACAAGGCATTACCTCTGCGTTTTGGGTCAGTCTGGCAGAATTATATTTCGCCAGTGTTGTGAATATTTCTCGACCATGCAGATGCAATCTTAGCGCACTTTTACAGCAAGAGCGGGAATACCCCCTCGAATGTCTTGACAAATATGTACTTGTCGGAGTTTCCTCTGTTGAAGTTCTATTCTCGGCTTACGAAAACTAGATCTAACCGGACTACTTCAATTTAAGAGAGGAGGGCTTCGATGATTTGACTTTAAATAGCATTTGTACTAATAATGGCATAGTAGCGAACGAGGAAATATACAAATACCAACAGTCACTTTGAAATTTTAAAGCACACTGCTCCAATTTGGATGAAAAAATTGTTTGTATTTATCTTGTTTTCCACTTAAGAAGTTATACCAATTGACTATCAGGTGCGTATTCTACGCTCTGATATCAAAGCTAAACAAAAAAATTACAGAAAATATAAAAATTCAATTATAAACTAATTTGAATTTCACACCAACATAAACTTATTTTATGTTTATTGGAAATAGACACGCTCACTTAACTATAAATAGATGCCGGCTAGTGCGACTGGCACTAAAATTGAAATAAGCATATTCCGCGAGGAAAAATATATCGGGCTGTTATACTTTAAAATGAACGCAGTATATGTATAGCGATTGTAGGATTTGTGCTAGACGTTTCTAATCTCGGCGGCAGCTCGTAATGCTGATATATAAAATGGAATATTGCAGAAACGACGGGGAAGAACAAATATTACAAGTCGCATGAGTTGAGTTTCTTACGTGCGGGGAATAGGCGGGATGGTCCAAGACGGAAAGCGCAATTTCAGACGGCCGTTAACCCAACTCCGACCTGCATAGCTGAGCAGACTGTTTCCTTCCTAGTTTTCTCTCCTTTTCTTTTTCTTTGCAATTGGTTTAAATCTGCTACGCTGGAAGGTTTTAAATTTGTATTAAAATTGAATTTGTATGTATAAAACTACCTCATACACGCACAACGGAAATTCTTGGGATTTGAAGATTTTTTAAAAATTAGTTTGCTCTTAGGTGTACTCTTTAGATAGTAAATTTTCGGATAATAATATATAATTTGTTTTACAAATAAATAAAATCAATTTTTATTCCATTAAAAAGTAAAATTCCAGTAAAAAAGAAATCAAAGGTTGTAAATTCAATGCCTTGTTTAAATTGCCCAAAAAAATATATTGCCCAAGCCAACTTTTGGAAAATGGACATAAATATACTAAAAACCCGCAGTTCATGCGTTTTTTACATAAACGTGAAAATTTAACAAACCATAAATTTTATTTTAAAGAAAATAAAATTTGAACAAAAGGTAATGACAATCAAAAATTGGCAATAAAAGGATTGGTTCGTATTAAAAAAGATATAAATGCAATAGATGATCTATAACATATTAGTAATTTAAATTAAAAATCAAAATCTACTTTCTAATGATAAGAGTGTTAAGCATAAACCAACAATTACAAAAACTTTTAGCAACTAATGTTAAAACATAAACTTCAAATTAAAAATATTAATGTAATGATAATGAATATTAATTTCTTCAAAATATCACTAAGGTATGTTAATAATAATATCCATACAAGTTATCTTCTTATATTCTTAAGTAAAATTATTTTTTTAAAAACCTCGCTATATTTGCGTTGATATTGTTAAAATGAAACAGATGAAAATGAAACAGAAACAGTAACACATTTTCAGAATGGAGGCGAAAAACAAATAATAAAATTATAATCGACTTTAACAAAATAGTCGGTCCCACTGTTCTAAAATATAATTGCAGGAGGATGCACCATCAGTGTTCATAGTCATAAATTTTACTTCTTATTAGAAATTTATAAATTATACAGAAGAAGGAAAAACGTTTTATTTTGCGCGACGCAATAAGTAGGAAATACTCGATTACTTTTAAACAGTTTCAGATTTTGATTTGAAATTTGAATGGTTTCACATTGGCATAATGGACCCAAAAGTTGCATTCTCGGTTTAGGAGTATAAATATAGTAATATATAATATATTTCTCATTTGTTTTAAACTTTTATTAACTTTTTATTGATTTAAAAAAATCATTTAGGAGGCTACGTTACTTGCCGTTTAATAAGTTAAATGGTTTTTTCATCAGCAAAATCTTCCATGAGATTTCATAAAATTCACCTAATCAAATTAAAAAATCCAATAAAATTTAAAAATAGGAGAAAGTTGGCCCCGATAATCTGTTGTATGTAAAAAATACTGGATGCTAAAAATTCAATAAAAGTTAATTGAAAAATTGCAATATGAAGCTTGTGTTGCCCAAGCATATATTACAGACGAAAACTACACCTTATAAAAAGTAAATAAAACGTTAGCAATATTTCTTGCACACTAATTGGTTATTATGTACATTTTACATAGTCAACTGGTTCAAGTATGAATGTAATATGCCAATGAAAAAATTTACGAAAAAAATTTTTTTTTCATCTTTCTAAAAACTAACTACAAAAACCAACCACTACCTCGCCGGCATATAAAAACAGTAACTAAACTAACCAAAACTATGCACAATAATATCATAATTAATAGCGAGTATATAATCAATTAATCTTTTTACCTATACATATATCGTAATTATTGAGTACCTACTGACATTCCTTGTCTCTTTTTTCCATGGTTAAAATGGTAATATTTCGAAAATTATGAAATATTAAATAAATAATTATCAATATCAAATATCTTGAATCACTTTCCATTAAATATGACCTGTAAAACTCTAATTACGAATAAATTAAAATACAGAAAAAATGATAGTTTGCCATAATCCCAGTTGTAAATTGTAATAATTATTTCGGGCATTGTTTACCTGTGTGTGTATGGTACGATCCTTAGTATGATCAGTTTTGGACATCGTTGATTTTTTTTACATTCAATTGAATGCAATCGAGAATGATAAAGACTATCATACACGAACGTTCCCACAATCTTCCAGCAAACGACAAGGCCGCCAGCGAACACGTATACACACGCCAATTAAACCCGTCCAACCCTTTTACAATCCCACCCAGCGACAATACTCTTTGTTTTCCCGTTTCGCAATCAGCGTAAATCAGCTTTACTGGGGGATGGACGGGGTCATACACCCCCACAGACAACTAGATCGGCCGCCGGCGAGGGTTTGTATTTGTTCAGGGCGATAAAGGGTGATGGACGAATATGTCCGCACATAACCACATATATTCCGGGGCATATTCCGGCAGCAGATCGACCGGAACTTCGACCATAACCGTACATCGTCCAAGATTGGACGTCGGGTGCCGCGGGGTGGCAAGGGGTAGCTGTCCCAATTTGAATTTTAATTTACGGGGTGAGTAAAGTGTTTAAATTTATTGGTGTAATTTTCGAGCCCGAGGGGTTGTTCCCAATCTCGCGTTGTTCTACACGATCCTCGTTTTTCGGAAGAATTTTTGATTGGATTAAGCCGTTGACGGGATAGTTTATGGGTTTAAGAGAGTTTGCAGTTTCAACATTTTATGCACCGGTTTGTATAAACGATAAAACTGTTGGCGTTCGAAAAAAGTTCATTCGGAATCGGCCGAAATTGCAGTTATCCATACGTGGCACACTGGGATACATTTTTATAATTTTGGGCCAACAAAGAAAATTTCTAGGTCCCCGTTATGTCTATGAAATTGTTAGCAGACTACATACAAGCCCCCATTCAATATTACACTTTAAAACAAATTATTGACAAAAAAAATTAGGCCATGTGAATCTCAATATGCTTAGCTTGTTATAGGAGATTTGTAAATGTGTAATATGTAATACCTGGTTCAAAAATTATAATTAATAGCATTTTAAATTAAGCGTATTTGATATTTTAATTCAAAAATTGCTTTATAACAGAATAAATAAAAAAAAAATACCTTGAAATACTACCCTAGAATATCATGTATATAACAAAAAACGAAAAGGACGCATTCTACGAGTTGGAGGGTGTATCTTAATGTCGATAAGTGTCATACATATGACGTATATTGAAAAACCTATAAAAGAACATACATAAACTATATACAAGCATACCAAAGGAAGAGCTGACGGATTTTTTTATTTTCCTTAAATTTAACTTTTACATTTTCTCACCATGTTAACAGCTAATATTTCGTAACGTTTGAGAAGGCGTTCTAAATATCTATATCTATATATATTTAAATTGTTTTATACCATTAGCGTCTCTAAAAATGGTTAATTTATTTAAGTATCTTATGTTATTAAAACCATCGGCCGTGTATTCAATAAAGCTGTGGACACATCTGACCTGATGTGGTATCATTAAACATTTGGTATAGAAACATCGTAAAACAATTCTGATTTGCTTTTTATTAAATATTATTGTTCACTTTATTTAACTTGCATCTGCTTTCGTAGGTATAGGTTGGTTAAAAATTTTACTTAATGTTTAATAGGGTTTTGCTTTTTATGTCAAACAAAAAAAATCATGACTATTTGTCGCATATATCTATAATAAATTTTGGTATTAAACGTAATCAGAAGCCCTATTTTGAATAGGGTTGAAATATTTATTTTATACCCATTTTGATTATATTTAATACATGATCATTCAATTATATTAGTTTCAATCCAGATCAATATATGAGAAAAATGCACTACTATGACTTTCAAGAAGCGTTTAATAAATTTAAGAAGTTCAACAATTTTCTAAGCAAAAGAAAAGGAAACTAAGTACCTATCGATCCATTTCATATTACCCTAATGTTCCCTGAAAACAGCATTTTTTATTTCATAATTTGTTTGATTTCATTTTGCACTTTGGCATAACTTAATTATTTTATTAACATGCACTATTTAAAATAAATTCATTATTAATGATTTTTGTAACACTTTCAGAGCATGTAGAGCATGTATTGTTTGCAAATATTCCAGAGAGTGTTCATTTAAGTTTCGATCTCAGAACAGTCGATTTACTTCCAGATGTTACTTGCTTAAACTTCTTAACTGCATACCACGCCACAGCCATCATTTCGTACTGTACGCTCTACATACACAAAATCTAAATATGGCTCGCTCGCCCGGTTTATCCTCCGCTGCCATCTAACGGCCAAATGAAGTGTTAATCCGGCCTAAGGCGAGAACTTTGGAGGGATTTTCGAACTAATAAATTTCAGGCTTTATTTAAGCTTTGAAAATGTAAGACGGGATAGCCAAAACCCTGAAATCTTCAGTCCCTCTTAACTTTGCTCGGAGATTTGCATATTTGAATATCAATGTTACTTTAAAAGTTGTTCAGGATGACGGCTAAATTTTCAGGCATATCGAATAATATCATGCATAAAAAGTATTACGTTAGATATACTTGTATATTGTATAAGCACTTTATTAAAAATATACCATAGATTTGTGTCAGATATGTTGGTTCGCCAAAAAAAAAAATAGTGCCATATCTCTTTATTTCAAATGAAAAAGTCATTTAAATCAAGCTCATTTGCGTTCTCAATTGCAATGACGCTGCATTCAGATCCATTATGTCGGCATGTCTTCCCCTTCTCACCCCCAGAAGACCAAGGCACTCTTTAGAAAGTACAAGAACTTTTTGATTGGAATTTTAGGAAAATATTTATATTAAACAGATTCTACTGCCAGCACTCTTAATAGTCTGGCCTCTAATGACCTCTATGAGACTAAAGTGTCGTCCTTCATTTTTCGTCATAGTATGAAGATATTTTACTCTATTTATATTATAAGGGATAAATAAACCGAAATCAATATTCTCCAGATGTTTAGTTCGTGTCAATAATTCCCGAATTTATAGGTACCAAATTGGGGAGAGCCCAGTAAGAAAGTTTTAGAAAATTTATTGAAATATTTTAAATTAGCATGAAGATTAGAAATT